AAACGACAGCAACTTGTCTGTTCCCCTTCCCCCAATTCCCCAGCGCTGTTCCCATCCCCAAATTCCCCAATAAAAATCTTAAAAAAAAAGAAAAAAGGGAAATATTGAGAACAAATTCTAAAGTGAACTAATACAAATCAAGTACTAATACATCTGTATTTGTTAAGTCAAATAATGCAAGCTCTGGTCATTGTAGAACATAAGGAGAAAAAAAATAAAAATCCATAATTAATTCTGTTAGCCTGTAACTTACTTTAAAGTGCTTTAGTAGGTACAATGTGAAGTATATTAGATTACCTTGACTTACAAACTAGAAAAAATTAGTCAACATTTGGAGATTTCTAGTCAGGGATCCACTCTCTAGGTTGGTTAATATTTGAAGTTTCCTAATCAATAGTTTGCACTCCAGGGGCCACTTTGACAAATGCATCAAATATCCAGTTATTGCTCTGCGAAACTATGTGTGGGGGCTTGGTAATTTACAAAGAATTGTAACAATTTTTCACTAGTGACACCAGCAGTGATCAAGACCTGTGATTGGCTAGAAATGAGGAGCACTCATCTCTCCATTGTGTGAACAAAGTATAAAAATCCCAGTATAAGGTCAAGAGGCTAACATCTTTGACACTGTAGATCTAGAATTCGATTTAATTTGTTACTCACTCCTCAATTTAGAAGGTGGCTTCTTGCTCCTGCCACCAGAATACTGATGCTTTTGCTCAGCAGTGAACCTTTCCTACAAGGTCCTGGATGGCATGCCACAGAGGACAGAAAATTGAGGCTACCCTCAGATTATTCAAATGGTCTGTTTGATGGATTTTGTAACTGATTATTAGTAAAAGTTTGGATGTTTACAGAAATTGGTCTGTAACTTATTTGGAGGTTTGTTTTTGTTTTTTTATGTATCCTTTCAAAAACTATCTGGAAGCAAAGTTGTAAGAGAAGAGACATAGTCCCTAGCTATTACTTCTTGTCAAAGATTAAAATATTGATACAAATCTCCGATGGTTGCTGAAAGAACTCAGTTCACAATATCCACCTGTTGAATGGGAGATGACTCAGGGTCAAGTAACGCATTTTTTTATGCTAGAGAAAGCAGATTGTGCTGCAGTAATAACCCCCATTTTACTGGCTTCAAATTACAAAGGTGTATTTCTCACTCACACTAAAGGCCCATTAAGGTTGAGGAGCTCTGCTAATCATAGCAACTCAGGTAAGCAGAATAATGAGGAAGCCTCCATCTCAAGTATGGGGAAAGATAGGAGAAAGATGAAGGAACATTAGCAATTAAACGTTCTGGTCTCAGGTACAATATTTATTGGCCTTAACTACTTTTCTGGCCCCACTTAAATCACAAGGGGACTGGGAAATGCAATACAATTTTATCATGTGCCCACAACAGGGGAGAATCATAGTTAGCTAACTTTTAAAATTACCACAGCAATATCTACAATTGAAATTGAGTTTTTCCGTTTGACCAGTGTATCCTAAAGTTGCAGTCTATTGTAAAATTACATTTTTTTTGCAAGGAAAAAAAAGGGATAATTAAGTTTGCTTTTGTTTTACTACTGAGTTACTTAACTAAAGATCAAAATCTTTATGATTGAAATAAATTCTATTCTAATCTAAGCAACCTGGAATATGAGTGGGTTGAATAAATGATATAAAAATCATTAAAAATTTTTTTTGCAATGGGAGAGCCTAAAAAAGATTTAAAAAGAGACTATACTTTCTATTTACACACTATAATAAGAGTGGCCAAATCTTCCTCTGCATACTAATATTTATCACAATGTAGATTCCTGGGTCCCTGGACTAATACTATGATCTAATAGGTCGAGTACTTGAGTGCAAGATTCTACATTTTAAAATATACCCATTTAATTTTGACGAAGGCATTACTGGGTCTTGGAACAAGATTTTGAGAAGTAATGGCTGTAGCTGATTGGGTCCAAGAAGCAAGAAGCATAAATATGAAATTTAATTGGGAGAAGAGCAAACAGAACTTCAATTCATTTATGGCAAATTTTTCTTAGTTTCTGAAAATTTATTATAAAAATGTATCAAGAGAACACTGACTCAGCAGTCTCAACAAGATGCAATAGCTATGCATTGACACTGCTTCTCTGCTCTGCATAAAAACTTTAAAAAACTGGTATCTTAGCAGTCCTCACTTAAATTATGAAGAACAGGGGCATACTGTCCTCTATACAGATGATTCCCAAATTGATATCTTTAATCCAGACTCCTTTCCTGAGTTCCAGACTCAAATATCCAACTCTCTACATATCTACATTTGGATAGACCCAATAGGCATCTCAATCTTTAAAGATCCAAAACTGGACTCTTAATACTTAACCCCAAAGCTGTTCCTACTGGAGCCATTTTCACCTCAATCAACAACAACTATTCTTTCAATTACTCAGGTAAAAAACCTTGAAGTCATTCTTTGCTGCATCATTTCTCAACCATTTTCTCAATCTTTCAGCAAAGCCTGTCAGTGCTTGCTTTGAAGGTGCCTTCCAGAATCTGTCCACTTCCTATCACTTCCTTTACTACCACTGTAGTCTAATCTAAGCCACTGTCACCTCTCACTTGGACTGTTGCAATAACTCCCTAATGTTCTCTTCAGACATGTGCTAGTCAATGTCTATCAACTACTATATTTATAAAGAATAAATAAACATTTATAGTATTATAAGAAAAGAAAACAAATAAAGGAAGAAAGTATGCATGAAGAGAGAGCGGAAAGAGGGAAGGAAGGAAAGAGAAAGAAAGAGAGAAAAAGAGAGTGAGAGCAGGAGCAAGAAAAAGAGAGAGAAATCAACAAACAAACAAAGAAAAGAACTCCCTGATTTACAGCTTTTGTAGGTTTCCATGGTGTAAACATTCCCACGATGG